TTATTTGATGATTAGGGCTTCTGGGATTTGCTAACCATGGTGGGGAAGGTGCCAGGTTATTTGTGAGTCAGAAAAAGAGATAATTACTGCCAACTGCACCTACCTGTTTATCTCTGGTAAGGGGTAGTCTGCAAGGATAGTAATTACATCTTAATTCCAGGCAACATGACCCAGATAGGCAGCGAGCTCTCCATCCACCATGACCTAGCTTGAAGAAGAGGCTCCAGCACTGGAGAGGCAGGGCTTTTTATGCCATTAAACAGTCCCAGCTGTTTTCCCTACCTACTTTTAGAACCACTGATGATTCTGCCTTTACATGGTTTGTTTGATGTGTCTCCAATAAAATCCCTGAGTTTGTGAGAAGATGAAAGGGTGATGGAAGGATTTTGAAGGAAGCTGTAGATGGGACAGAGGAGCACAGTCCGGGTTGAGGACCTATTATAACCACTTGGCACTGTGCAGTCCGAGGCCGAAGGTCTGACCTCATGAATTGCGATCCCCTGTGGCTGAGGCGACGTAAAAGGCATGCTGGCCTTGCACTAGTTATCTGGAAGCCAGAAAAATATGTTTGACACAAGGCAACTTATCAAACCTCCTAAAATGGAAATGTGAATGTTTATATATTGATGATAATATAATTGAGAAAAGTCTCTTTGAAGAAAATAAAGAACATAAAGTGTAAGGCTGGTTGCCTCGCAGGGAGCTCGGACACGCCCATCCCTCGCCGCGCCTAGAAACTAAGTCACCAGTCCCCGCCCTGCACCAAGCGCTACACTCAGCACCTAGCCCGCCGTTAAAGAACCCCGCCAAGACCTGCCCTATGGCAGCTTGCCCCGTTTCTCACGTCCTCAACCAGCCCACTTGCCAATAGCCCAGCCTGGCTGCCAATGGCGGCCCACCTCACCTGTGACCAGTCCCTTCATAACCAATGAGACTACCTCTGCTTTGTTTCCCCCGCAGCGGACCAACTACCTCGACTCCCTATAAAACCCCATGCCCTAAGAAGAGAAGCGCGACCTCTGTGGCCCCTCTTCCCGGACCATAGAACCTCGCCGGGGAGCTGAATAAATTGGCTTTTACTTTTCTTATTCCGGTCTCCGTTTCCTCATTTAACTCGGCAATAAACCTTACATAAAGCATGATTGTTTTTTGAACTTTTTAATAGTGTAAACCATACTTACACTATTTAGTGTAGTACTTTTGATATGGTACCACATCTACCCAGTATTTTTCCTGACTTTTTTCATGCACACAGAATTCCATCATAGCAGTTAAGGAACCTCATGATTTCTCTTTTGAAATCCTTGAGAATTATTTAAATGCTTATGTGATTTTTCTTCACCTTTCCCCACACAACTCTTGAATCAATAGAAACAATTTTAACAAAATTATCTGAATGCATACTCCCGATATATGTATGCACAAAAACTTTTAGTGGTCTGTACTTAGAATACTTTATCTACAGAGGAATAGATAGAAAGTCCTGTTTGATGCTAAATAATCAGACAGTGTCATTCATTCTAAATGAAAAAACAAGTTGGGAATAGAGTGGCATAAAACAGCAACTGAACAGAGAGGTTAGTGAATGTGAAGCCCAACTTAAAACCAGGAAAAGAATTCCATCATCTGATGTGTGATTATTTCTTATAACTATCTTATTAAAAAAATTTTTTTGAGACCCTGTCACCCAGGTTGGAGTGCAGTGGTGCAATCTCAGCTCACGGCTGGGTTCAACCAGTTCTGCCTCAGCCTCTCGAGTAGCTGGGATTACAAGTATGTGCCACAACACCTGGTTTATTCTTTCTGTACTTTTAGTAGGGACTGGGTTTTGCAGTGTTGACCAGGCTGGTCTCGAACTCCTGACCTCAAGTGATCCGCCCACCTCGGCCTCCCAATGTGCTGGGATTACAAGCATGAGCCACCACACCCAACACTTATCAGTATTTTTATTTTCTCTTTGGTAAAATCAGTTTTTTTAAAGTTATTTATAACGGACTTCCAATAAAAATATTTTATTTAAAGATGTAATAATGGCTTTCTCACAGAACAACTATTTAAATAGTTTTTCCTGAGAACTTTGAATTAATTTTGTTTCCCTGGAAATCATTGTTTTGAATCTAGTTTTCTTCCGGGTGGTCAGAATCCAAACATTACAGAGCTGTTTTTCTTTTTTTCCAATTTTCTATCCTAATATTAATTTGAGACTTTAAATTGCGAAAATTATATTAATAGAGATGAATTTTCTTTAACAAGATGGTATTTTATTTACTTGTTATAAAGATATCATTCAATGATGGTGTCAGTCACCCTGAAGAACCTGCATTTTATTTCAAAATTATATGCAGTGATTTCCTTAAAGGGTAGGTCACTGCATTGTCTGGATTTTAAGGGTTTCTTTTAATTCATTATTTACATACAATACTTCAAAATATAAATTTTGGTCAAAGAATTGAACTGATTACTTCATGGGGAGAAGAGGAAAAAAGGAAAAGAAGGAATAATTCGAGCAAAAATATAAGTATTTCAAAAAGTTATGTCAAGAATTAAAGGTAAGTTCAAGTTGAAGTTGAGTAGCTTTAACAGCAGTCCTTTAAGTTTTTAAAGGCCCACTCCGGCTGTTAATTTGCTACACCTGCTTATACTGTGGTCTTTCTTCAGCCATTACCAGCTGGCCAGCAATGCACTTTGCCCTAAGATTTTTAGCCAAGCAGTCCTTGTTATCTTCAAAACCCTTTTAAAAACCATGACTAAAAAATATACTTTATAAATCTTATTGGCTGATATTTCTGACTTATTTAATGCTTGGTATTAGATATAGGCATCTATTAAAATTTTTTTAAATGCTGTCAACTCTCCAAGCACTGCCGTTTCTGCAGCTGTGGTGTGGCAAAGCCCTGGAGGTTCTGTCACCCAGGAGGCTACACATCCTGAGTAAACAGGTAGGTTCTCCTTAGTAACCGCTGAATAACACCACAATGAGCATCACACAGAGGCCTGGATCCAGCCTTCCTTCTTTCACTCAGATACATTATCTAGTGGGGTAGTTGCACCCCATGGAGCCAGACATCAAGGCTCCAGTCATTCATTGAAATACTGTCCCATAAAACACCCCCTCTATCTTGCTGGGCTAGGCCCCTGGCTTTATGCGGTTGTGCACGTGCTTAACTTTGCTAAGAAAATCATAGTCCCAGCTAGGTTTCTAATAAAAAAGTTTGGATAGCACAAACACATTTTTTGTTCCATTGGCTTCCATTATTATTGTCTTTTAATGTACACATTATTTTAAGTCAAATTAGGGATTTTTCAACCAGAAGAGAATGATGTTGTTTCTGAGAATGGAGAAGAAACCAAACATTAAACCAATAAGAAAAACATGCAACTTGAGTTCCAAGTAAAAAACAACTCTAGATGCCTTTAATAATTTTGGCCAGGATCCTGGATGTGGGAAGTCAGAGTATGGTTCAAGCTCAGGGATGGATTGAAAGGCTTCCTCTGGAGGTTGGGACTGACAAGGAATTATCCAGCAAAGAACAGACACCCAGAGTGGCTCTGGGAGAGGACTGCCCATGTTCTGGACTTTTCAAGGTCAACTCAGAATCTCAAAGAAGAAATGATGTGAATGTCAAGAGTTGTTTTCCTAGACCTAGGAGGAGGAGGGTCATGTACACAGATTCACAAGCTGTTGAGAGCTGGAAGGTGCTTGGCAATGTTACAGAGTAAGAATCAATCAGGATCAGGATCAATCATGTTGGGGGATGGGAGAAAGCAAATAGGCAACAGGTAGGCTGGAATTTTTTTTTACGTTGATTTTTCTCTTTATTTCACAAGTTGGATGGTATCTGCCAAGTTCTTTGGCTGTTTTGTGCCCCACATACCATGAATTCCAGTGTGCAAATATTATTGTGCACTGTGAGAATCAGGAATTGTAATCCAGGCCTTCACAGTGCACAACAACCTACCATATGCAAGGAATAAAATACACTGCTTCCGTAAAGACATTAGAAAAACACATTAGTTCTGAAGCTATTCAAATAGCTATTCAGAATAGCTGGTTCAAATAGCTATTCTGTCCCAACCTCTATGGCTCAGCAGAGAAAGATTCATTTAAAAAGCAAAACAAAACTATTTAAAGCCTGATATTAGAAAATAGACTATTTCAGGGCAGTATTTACCTGGTTCAAAAGACAATCCACGGTATAATTATTCACTCATAAGGAAGGCTCGAAACAATTAAATCAGTACTTTTTTGTTAAGAATATCCAAACAGCAGATTTAAAAGTCATGGAAGGGTTGGAAAATCTTTGCCATTTGTTTTGCCTACTTCCCCAGTGCTAGTAATTGTGACAGAGGCAGAGAAACTAGGTAGACAGGGGCAGGTCCCTGGCAAAGCCCCATCTTTAGCTGAAAAGCCTAAGTCACCACAGCCCACAGTAAGAATTTCCGTCCCTATGTGCCTGCTCTCTACTGATTGGTTCTTTCTGAATAATGTCTTTTTACCAATCAAATATTGCCTTTTCCGCAACTACCTATGGCCTGCCCTGCGCCCCACCCTCCTGTGTCTATAAGGACCCCGGACTCAGCCAGCAGGGGGGAGAAGTGGCTGGACGTCCGGGTGAGGCAACTTAACTTCAGAGACAGTGGCTGGTTGAGGCAACTTGACTTTGGAAGAGAAAGGCAGACAGGCAGCTTGACTCCAGAGGAGAGCCACCTGCCCTTCCCATCCCCCTCCCAGCTCCCTTCTCCCTGAGAGCCACTTTTATCACTCAATAAAATTCTCCACATTCACTATCCTCCAATTTTTCCATGCGACCTCATTCTTTTTGAGCAATGGACAAGAATTTAGGATGCACCATGTATGGGTACCCAAAAAGGCTGTCACACTGACTCTTTGCCATTGCTGGCAGAGGGCAGCCACCACATGTGACAAACAAAAAGGCCCACTGAGCTGATAACACACTGCTATCTGCAGGCGGCAGAGCTAAGAGAGCATTGTAACTCACCGGCCTTGGGGTCAAAGGGGCCTGCACAGAGTTTGCTCCCGCCAGTGGACTTCGCTCCTGCCAGCACGGAAGAGGTCAGCTGGTTCCTGCACTTGTTCGCTCCCATGCTCCCTCCCGCTGGGGGTGGAGCCCGGGTGAACCCAAGTGAAGGGAGTTTGCTCCTGCTGGGCTGCGGGCCAGTTCCTGCACTCACTCACTCTGGTTCCACACTCCTTTGCTTGAAAGCTCCCTCCCGAGGGGGGTTGAGCAGGGCAGGCTGAGCAAATGAGGCACCCTTGTCGCAAGATCTCTGATGGGGTCGAGAAAATATCCTGTGTCACTGGCAGGCACAGGAAAGGAAATGCCTACTCTCAGGTAAGGATTATTTTCAGACATAGTTTGAGTTCAACTGTATTTCAGATCAAATAGGTGTTGGGGAACCCTTTCTTCAATCAGTGTCTTCAGGAGTAAGCAGAGGAATAAGAGAAGGCCTGTCTAGGTTATAACCTACACACTGCACTTTGTTTCTAGGGTGAAGTGTACTTCTATAGGAACCTAAAGGAAGAGGAATTTAACCTGCTTCTCAATGATAAAAGTTAAGAATTATTCAATCCTATAAAGGCTAAGAGAATTTTTTTTCTATAAATCATCAAGCTGTATGTCTCATGGCGTTTACAGACTTAACAATTCTTTTATCTGCTATGCATTCTAAATGTACCAAACTCAACACGTGGCAAAAGAGGGGAAGGGAGAAATTCAAGTCACCCACCCTACTCTTCCTTCAGCATTGAAGGTTAAACTCTGCCTTGACCTCTGTGATTCCGTGTTCTGACCCATGTCACCAGTGTCCACATCCTAATCCCTAGAGCTTGGGGATATGTTAACCTGTGTGGCAAAAGGGACTTTGCAGATATGATTTAGAATTTTTAATGGGGAGATTATTCTGGATCACTCAGGTGGTCCCAACGCAATTACAGGAGCTCTTATAAGGGATAGAGGGAGGCAGGAGAGTCATCCAAAGATACAAGACCATGGAAGCACAGGCTACGGTGTTATTGCTTCTTGGAAGATGTAAAGGAGCCACAAGCCAGGGAATGTGGGCAGACTGTAAAGTTTTAAAAGGCAAAGAAGTGGATTTTCCCCTAGAGCTTCTAAAAGGAATGTGGCCATGCCAATACTTTGATTTTAGCCCCATAAGACCTATTTTTCTAAATTCTGACTTCTAGAAGCATAAAATAATAGATTTATTTTGTTTTAAGCTACTAGGTTTGTGGTAATTTGTTTCAGCAACCATAGGAAACAAATTCAATGCCTCATCATATATCCATGAACGGAGGAAGACTTTGACAGAGTTCTCAGCAACTCTGGTGATTTAGTGTTAGGGAATCAGTTATTCACTACTGAGGGGTCATTCAGAGCTTGGGATGGAGCCATTTTCTCCCCCAGCTGCAATAATTTTGGCTTAGAATTTATGGGATGTTTTGCTTCTGAACTTGTGATTCAAGGGGGTTTCACAGGTAAGTTTGCATACCTAATTTCCTCACACTCTACTTCTATCCGTGGCATCGTCCAGAGAACTTGATATGTTGTATGCAATTTCTGTGTCAGAGAGGACCTGAGAAAGCTTCTTGGTGCCAAATATGGGTTTTGAATCAGCATTGGTGATATTTGCCATGGTGCCAATCTGAATTTGATGACATAAATCTTCCACAGGAATTGTCACTGAATCCTTGGTAAGTTTCTCCTCTGGTGGAATATCCAATGAAATAGTTTCAATGTCTACTTGAATCAAGCTATCATTCATGGTAGGATAACAAACAAACCAGGTTCTTTGGCTCCTCATTATAGGATGTGCCCTGATTTAAGATTGTGGCCCTTTCATATTCTTTTAGGATAATATAGAGAAAATTATGATTGGTCAAAACTCCACCTGCAAGCCTATGGTGGGCTCCTCTTGAAAGAATCAGGAAAAGCCATAGCTGGGTGTCCTCATGATGACACTATCAGTCGGCTGTCAGAGTCCAAGTCTCTTATCACTTCGCCAGAACAGTAGCGGCTGAAGAATGTATTGGTAATTTAAAAAATTTCTCTGGGTAATTCTAACACATATCCAAAGTAGGTTATAAACCACCATTCCAAAACATCTTTATGAGTTAAATGTCATTAATATCTTCATTTCACTGAAGACAAAATCAAGGCATGGAAAGGTCACATAATTTTCCCAAAGTCACACAATAAATAAGAGACAAAGCTAGGATTCAAATGCAGGCTCCAGAGCCTAAAATACATGGCTTCTCTCTTGCCTTGTGCAGAGCTGAATTTTAAGAACACAGCAGAATTCTTATTATTCCACAAATGCTTGTTGAATGAATAAATGAAGGAATAAATGAATGTCAACACCTATTTGTGATGTAGGCTTTCATTAAAATACTGATGGGTATGGGTCAATATTACCTTTTAATTTACAAAGTACTTTTTTTTTTTTTTAAACAGTGTTTCGCTCTTGTCACTCAGGCTGGAGTACAATGGTGCGGTCTCAGCTTACTGCAACCTCTGCCTCCCGGGCTCAAGT